CTACTTTAACCAATTTGTCTTCAGTTTATACAGAGTATGTTAGAATATTACAATTTAATTTGACTTCAATATTCATATAGATATTAAATGATTTAATATTATATTAGCCAAAGCCCGCACCCTCCATTTATTTTTTTTCCACGGTCAACACTTTCCAGAATTTTTCCTCCCTATTCACACCCTCCACTTTTCAAAACCCGTGAAAAACCTAATATTTTAACGGGCCGTCACGGCATCATTAAAAAATGCACTACATGGCACCCAGAAATTGATGTGGCACATGCGGCGTTTTCTTATTCGTTAGGTTCATATGTGGATCTACTTTTTGATGATGTGGTGTCCACGTGTGCAGTAGGGCCCACTGTGCGGGACTTTTCCCAGTTGTCCCGCGTCCCACCAAAAAAAAAAAAAAAAACAAAACCTAAAACCCAAAGATCTTAAATCAGATCTACAAAACCATTTTGGGGATTTAGGGTTTGTCTTCATTTTCCTCTTAATCCTCACTAAGCTTTTCGACGATCTTCCTCTTTCATTGTCTTCTCCTGTACCCAACCCCAATTTATGATAAGAGAGAAATGTCGAGGACATATGGAAATTCATTCTCATGAGGTTCTACTTCACGTGGTGCATCGACTTCGTCTAGCCGTCCTCCTTTCATCTTATATGATGGTATTCCCGAGTATGACTACCCACCACCCATTCGCCATTGTGACTGTGGTAAGTTTGCTCCATGGTGGACTGCATGGAGGGACTCAAATCCAGGTTGTCGCTTTTATGGATGTCAAGATCTTAGGGTGGGTTTCACTTTCAAAAAAATATTATTATTATTATTATTTTGGCTTTCAGTTTTGAACAACGATTTTATATGCTCAATTTGGTTATAGGAAGAGGATGTGTTGAAGAAGTGTGATTACTTTGTGTGGCATGATACAGACTTCACCCAAAGGGCCAAAGATGTTATTTGGTACCTCTATAATGAAAGGAAGAAACTGTTAAGGGAAAATTCTGAGCTAAGGAAGCAGTTGAAGCATAGTCATGAGGAAGAGGTTGAGCAAACGAGGCAAAGGCAAAGTGTTAGTGTGAATGAGGGGATAGAGGAAACTGCAACTAATCAGCTAGTGGAAGAAGTTGGTTGTGATCAACTATCTAAAATTAATAAGGTGGAAAAGAGGATGCATGAAATGGAGAATTTGTTGGAAAAGAAAATGCAGACTGCATTCTGTAAACTTGGATGTGTTATTGTTGCACTTTGCTTTCTGAATTTGGCATTTATAAACTTCTTGTTTTGGTAGAATGTTGGAAATTTGAGTGTGGTTAAGTGTGTTTTTGGGCATGTCATGTAACTTTGGAAATGGCCAGAAGTTATACCCAATTTGGCCAAAAATTTATCTGCATGAAATGAAATGTCTTGTTTTGTTGTGTCCATCACTATCACTTGTTTGCAAGCAAGGTCTACAAATAATTTCCATTTTTGGCCATTCATTGACAAAAAATATACAAAACCAAATTTTGCCATTCATTGAAAGAAAATATACAAAACCAAATTTTGCCATTCATTGAAAGAAAATATACAAAACCAAATCCCCTATTCGGCCATACATTAAGTGCTATTTTTGCAATTTACTGTTATAAAATATTGAAAATGGTGAATCCATATGACCATATATATTGTTGTTTTTGGTCATCACCTTTACAAGCTATATAGATAAGGACATGACATTGGTTTAACCTATTTGGTCACAATTTGAATAAACCATAGCCCTAAATGATCACTATTCAAAAAAGACAACAAGTAACTAACAAAACATCTCCATTTAAAAAGCAATATTTAGGCCTTCTCATTGCCTTCTGTTGTGGTAGGTCTTGCAAGCACACTACTGGCAGCAGCATCATCAACACCCTACATCATTCAACCAGCAAATGCACTTAACAATCTAACTATAAAACTTACAAAAAAAAAAAAAAAGGAATATGGTTTCAAACATACAATAAAGCTCCCTGTGGCTGTAGGGACCCTCGCCCTCTTTCTCTTGCTACCTGAGGTTGAGGCACCTTCACCTCCCTGTTTCTTTCTTTTGTTTACACCTTGGAACCAAAAAAACAGTTTTAAAGCATGTTCCTTCAAGCATCCACTAAATTCATAGGGGAGAAATACAGTTTCAAAGGGAAAAATATCCTCAATCACCAACTAAATTA